CTTTATAAAGGAAAGATATTTAATTGACTCACAATTGCACTTGTGGGAAGGCCTCAGGAAACGCACAATCATGGAAATAGAAGGGAAAGCAGGCACCTTCTTTACAAGGCAGCTGGAGCATGAAAAGCCTGTGAAGGAGGAACTATCAAATACTTATAAAACCATCAGGTCTTGTAAGCACTCACTCATTATCATGAGAATAGCAGGGGGAAACCTCCCGCATGATCCAGTCACCTTCCATCTGGTCCATCCCTCAACATGCAGGGATTATGGGGATTACAGGTCAAGATAAAATTTGTTTGGGGACACAGAGCCAAACCATGTCATACCCCAAGGTGGCAAAGGATATAATCAGTTGGCTGTTTTTACTATGTTATTAGTATAAAAAAGCTTAAAATGTCAATCAGGGATCTTGAAACTCTGAGAAGGGGAAGACAGAACAAACAAAAACCAATTGCTTTGATATAATCCTGGGTGCTTGGGTTTGAGTTCCGGACTTCAGTTAAAGAAGTCAATTGGAAGAATGGGCTTTTGTCTTTCATCTCTCTGGTCTATGTTCAACTTATATTAGGTGTTAGAGCATTAGTGGACATCAGTGCAGTTAAACATTTCAAGCTGGGGTCTGCTTAAAGCTGATGCTATGCCTCTAAATGGTCACTGAAAAGTATGATAATAGGTTGGACATCATTTAAGTTCACTTAGATGAGTTACCCTACTGAAGGTCACCCTCTAGAGTGGTTTGGAATACAGTGCTAGAAGTATAATTCTTTGTTTATTAATGCCACGTGGAAAAAGCTCAGTGAACCCTATGTAATTTCTCCTAACGAAAGTCCAGAATTCAATTAATTGAATACATGGCTACTTTAATTATTCTGTTACGACTAATTGATATTCACAGTGAACATGTTTTATAGCTTCTAAATGTAATATTACCTTGCAAGTTTATGGTTCAGCCTCCTTTGATATTCCAGTTCTTTTTCTTTGTTTTATGTCAGCATATAATTTTATTAGGTTCGTATATATTGCACCTCCTATGTAGTTTTGTCAAGAAATAAAGCTCTTTTTCCTACTCTTTTTTGCTCATCTGCCTATGTGAGTTGTAAAATAGATTTTGCCTACCAAAGATTATCCATATCATCGTGAAAGACTAATCTTTCTCAGTTTTCTGTATGTGTGGTTCAGACTGTTACAAGATTTAGAATAAATGGATATATTGTTACTGGGATGTCCTGTTTATGTTGTTAGAAAGTTGTTGCCTTTTCTAAATCCTAGTAATCTCTGGCTTCATAGTGTTATCTCATGGAAAGTTGAGTAGGTACCTGCTTTGTTTTTTAACCTGAGCTATTAAAAATTGAATACTGACATTTCAAGGAACGTTGTCATTTAAAATATACAAGCTCTCCCATAGCACAGAATCTTGCCTTAACATGCCTTATACTTGACATACAAAGTAACAGTACATTATCTGTGCTAAGTGATTGTGATGTCACCGAGTTCCCAATGCCATGCACTTGGTGCCACACCGGAGTCCCCCGGAGCAACCAAGGCTAACAGGGCATAGTCATGTCGAAAAGGTTGTGCCATAAGGATTTTCCCAGGATTATTCATGGGAAGGTAAAGTTCCTAAAAGCGCAGGATGCTATATTCATAATCCCAGTTTTCTCTTGTATGAACTTTATTATACCCTTTGTCATGGAGCACCTTCAAGCCCATGCTGAAAAGAGACAAGTCTTTAAGGAAGTAAGCATATGTACTTCACTTTTAATCTAGCTGTCAATACCAAGTTAAGACATCAAAATGTTTGTGTTGGGCTCCTTGAGCTTGGTTTCCATATTTTCTTTGTTTCTCTTGCATTATGGGATCTTCTAGTTTTCCATAATGATCCGCTTAAGTACATCGTGTCACATTTTCCAGCCTAGCCATGTTATCCAAAATCTGGCAAGATCTGAAAACTATCCAATACATATTTCTTCTAGGAATAGCAAATAGTAGACGGGGAAAAATGTTTTATATCATTTTTTTCCCCAAGATATGATTCTATATTGATAAATAATGTTGAAATCCTCTTTGTTTTTATTTGTTCATTTACAATGATTCTGTGTTAGGGAGCTCTGTAGAGTTTTATTTTCTTGCAGTAGGTTAACTACTTTTTAAAAGTTGAATGTGACTCTCCATCTTCAGCAGCTATTAGCTTAGTCAATGTATTCTAGGCTTATTTAAGTTTCAGGATTCATATCGTGTGACTTTTCCTCCTAGCATCATATTAACTGTTTCAAAGCAATGTGCTATTAAAGTGTTGTGGCCATGTTTCTTACTTTGTTATTCTTCCCACTGGATCTCAAACTATTGATTCTGTTTGCAGTCCAGAGAAAGATGTGTGCTGCTGGCCTATAATTTGGTGTTGTTGGGTCTTAGGAAATGTCCCCCTCTTTGGTCTTTAGTGTACATATCTGAGCTTCGGACATGTTTTAAAATTATTCAAGGATCATATCTTAGAAAAGTGAATGAGCTTATTTCTGTACATCCTTTATTTAGGTTTTAATCAGCTCTTCAAAATTAAGTTTGATGACCTATGTAGTGCTCTCAGTAGGCTCAAGTGTTGAATTCTCTTAGTGTTTTCTAAATAATGATAATGGAATATCCATTACGATTTCTTTACATTTTAAAAAATTTCACTGTGTGAACAAAAGGAACATTATTTAGTAAGAGTGTTTTAATAGCCATGGTAGATAATGACTTACATTGAATGGGAGAGAAAACCAGGTGCTGATACATTCAGGATTTAGTAAGTAATAGAATTCCCATGTTATATATAACTGTTCAAGTTGTTAAAACAAAATTTTTGAATTGTTAATATAATTATAGATGCCCTACCATGCTACATTTCCATCTCATAATCAAGTGTAAACATATGTAATATTGATGTTTGAAAGATTTTTCTGTGATTACAGAAGTAATAACTTCATTATAGGAAATAAAAAACAGTCCAAATAAAAAATATATCCACCACATGTATCCTAACTACTATAAGTCTTACAGTACTTTATACTTTTTTCCCTGTCAGTATAAACAAGCACTCAGCGTACTCTGCCCCTCCCTTCTGCTCCTCCCCCCCCCCATTTCTCATACAAAATTAGGAACTTAGGGCCCATGCTACTTCATGAATTGTGTTTTTTTCTCACCTAACATTTTGAATTTTTAAAAATTTTCTATTAAAATATCAGCTTTCAAAAACTCTTACTGTTTGATTATATGGCTGGATCAAAATCTTTATAATCAATATCCTGTTGTCAGATTATATCTTATTTACCCAAACCTCTATTGTTCACTCTTAGTTATTGTTTTAAATAATACTGGTTGCATTTTCTTAGATATAAATTCTCTCATTTTTTAATATTTGCTAGGATTGAATGCCTAGAAGTGAAATTGGTCACATAGGAAGATTAATGATAGTAATGATTTATACACACATTCACACATTTATAGTTGTTATTATTATAAATTTTAATATGCTTAATTTATATTCATTTAAAAATTTATGTAAATTCATTTTTTCTGATATACAGTTCTATGAGTTTTGACAAATGCATATAATTGTATAATCACCATCACCATCAAGCAACATTTATTTCCTCACCTTAAAAAATTTCTTCCTTTTGTACTTTGACTACAAAGTATGTTTGTTTTTAATTTTGAACATATAAAGAAGCAAAAACAAGAAAATAGAAACCGCCCATAGGTCTACCATTCTGCTGTAACCTCTGTTGATATTTTGTAGAATATTCTTCTGCAAAAACGAGGTCATACCGCCCTTGGGTTTATATAGTTTTTTAAATTTTTTACGTGGTATACTTTGAGTACATATTTCATTTAGCCATTGGATTGGTTTGTTTTTATTTCTCTGCAGTTCTAAACAACCTTGTAATGAAGTCTAAACAATCCTATAATGAACACCTTTGCATATTGTACTTAAGAAAAGTACTGTAAGTAGTGTTTTTAGATCTCAGGGTATATGTACATTTTAAAGACTTGTTAATTTTATCCGATTGATTTATACAATGGGTATACCAATTTATACTCTGACCAGCAGTGTATAGGAGAGCCTGTTTTCTTATATCCTTGCCAATATTGAATATTTTTTTACATATTTGTTAATTTGATGGATGAAGAATGAAACCATGTTACCTTACTTTGTTGTTATCTGATTTGCTGTCGGGTTGGATTTTTTTTCATGTGTTCATTACTTGTATTTTTTCTGTGTAAATTTCTAGTTTATATTATTTGTGTATATTTCTTTTGTTGTTTTTTTTTTTTTTTTTT